CGTCCTCTATCATTTTAAATCTAAACCCTGAGACCGTCACCTTCTGTATCAACCTGTCGGTGCACTTGGTGGACTTCATCGAAATCGATGGTCGAACACACACACACTCTAAGAGCTAACGCTAACGGGTGCTAGCAACAGCCGAGGCAGTACCTATATGGCTAACGAAGATGCGCCCACTGAAATAAGAGTTTTATTTGCCTGACGTTTCGGATTCCCTCGGGAATCCTTAATCATAAGCTATCGTAAACAGGTCTGAGACATGCGCAGACCCCTTATCTGCGCATGTCTCAAATGATAACATAGGCATGGTCATGCGCAGATGAGGTGGATATATGCACAGGCTGCACCACTTTATTTTCCTGACGTTTCGGATTCCGTCGGGAATCCTTAGTCATAGGTAGATCATGGTCACTGTTATTTTTAGTTTCAATGCAACTGCATAAGCCCGATAATGAATGGTCGAAGACATATGTTTGTAAGAAGGCCTTTTCATGTATGCCTAGTAGTTGACGTCAATCTAAGGAGTTCTAAGGAATGGATATATAACGTTTAGCTCTACGGGCGTAATGCTTCATTTACTTCGTTGACCCAACTTGCGTGACAATAGAAGCATTATCACATGTTTCAAGGTGACGCACGTCTTCAAGGCTTCTAACTCCTGCGGATGATGCACACAGCGCGAGAGAAGCGCTTTGGTATTGTTCTAACAAAGAACCAATCCTGGTTGTCTGTGCTTCTTGCGTGTCGCACGTTAAATGGGCCCTTCGTTAGGCTGACGCTTGTCAACTGTTTCTCATATATAGACACGAACCGTCGGTGCTCGAGTTTTACCACATAAACATGCGCGAGCTGCTCCATCTGCAGGTTGGTCAGTGCGGAAACCAAATAGGTTCCAAGGTGAGTTACACTTATTGTTTAAACTTGTTTAAGGCCTAGATTCCGTATCAGCAAGCTTCATATCTGTTACAATGTTTCATAAATGTCTACTCCGTTTCTTAAATGTTCGCTATTAGCTGTTCCAAGCACGAAATGTTCTTATACAGCACCCAACACATGCTCAGACTTCTCATAAGTACAAGGGTTCAGACGTTAAAACTTTATTTTGAACGTGTTTTTTTAACGTTTTAAAAACCCATTTTACGTGGTCAGATTAGATACTCACAAGTACTTTCGCGTATAGAGATCTTGGTGAAGATTATTGGTTAGACAGATGTTCAGAAACAAGTGGTATCAACTAATCAAGATAATGATTTACCATCATTAGAATTCGACTTAGATGTAAATCAGGAAAGCGTATTGGGCGTTTCCAACCAATAAGCCTTGATAATTGGTAGGATGGATAACAAACGCTCTAAGAAATCATAAATAACTGAGGAAAATGGTTATGAAATATTGCCATATTGTT